CAACAAGTAGGGAGGTCAACTATATAAACTGCAAATTCAAATTCGAGCTGGTCAAAGAGTCATCTACAACGAACAATAACATATTATAAATTCAGAATTAAAAATTAATATATACAAGTAGTTACTCGTATATGGAGAATAGTACTTCTTAGCCCTAAACAAATGACTTACCATTTTCCTAGCAGCTGTTGCGATGTTATATAGGTTTTGTGTTCAAATGTGTAGGAAGTGTTGCGACTATGCGCTCATATAAGCACAACAAGTTTAATGTTAGGGAATGGGTGAACCTTGGAAAAAAATTAAAAAATTGTGAACCTTGGGCTTTCAACGAACATACGGGATCAAAATTAATTAAAAATAATGGCAGATTAAAATACATATATTCTGAAATGTTTGAATGTGAAAATTCTACAGGTGTGAACAGCTCAAAGTGTCGAAACAACCGCCTTATGGACTCTGAGTTACAACTGTCTTCAACTGGATCACAGATATGCTGAAATCTTTTGAAACCTCGTAGAAAACCCCAAACCAACAAGGTGGTATCATAATAGCCACTATGCAAGCAAAATTCTCGTTTTCGTTTGATCTTGCTATACTGGAATGGTAGGACACTCGAGTAATTTGGGACACTGAAAATAGATTACTTGGATGATACATTGTCAAATTGATGACCTTCTTAGCTAACTCATTTTTGCTCCAAGGTTCCCAGTGACTTTTCTATTTACTACTCAATGATATCCAGAAGGAAAGAGATTCGTAAAAAGCTCCGGGAACCAATATACTTCGAAGTTGAGTCATTTATTTTAACAGTGAGTAGATCTGATCAAAAGAAATGTTTTTTTCCTTTAACATTTTTCTGGTAAAATTAAAGTAACACAGTTATAGCCCTTCAGAAGTTTGAGTACCGCCCTGTCTCAATAATAATATGTGCTCGTGTTTGGCAACAACGGATATATCGGTTCATCGCATCGGAAACAAAAAAGCGAAAGAATTTGAAACGTTTATCACGATGTTTTTCGTCATTCGGTAACGCGTGAGTGAATAGTGGTGTTTGTTGCGTGGTTCAAACGAAATAAAAAATGGCACATGTTTACGTAAATGCTGAACTTGTGGACATGATTCTTATTTACGGGGGGGCAGTCTTTACAAAATGCTGCCGGATGCATCACGGATTTATGCGAATCGGTTTCCCAGTCGAGTGCAACCAACCCCTCGTGCCTTTATTAATGTAGTACAAAGGGCTCGTGAATCAGGTGACTTAAGACCTCACAGTGGAAGGCATGCCGGTGCTCCAAGGCCGCTCGATCAAATACAGGTCCGCACTGAAATACTTGTCGGGAGGATACTTTATAGAACAAGGTAACATTTTTTTTAATTTTTGTTATTTTTACACACATATTTTGGTTTATCTTCCTTCTACAATCATTATCTGAAAATTAATGACTCAACTTCAAAGTCACCCTGTATATACAAATACCTGCAGTAGTTTGTAATTTGTGAAAGCATTTACTGGATGCCAATGAATTTGTCCGAGATCACAAGATACCAACAAGGACAGTACTGAAAGGCGCTACCCAATTTTCATCGTAATGAACAAAAATCGATTATGCATAAAAAATATTAAAATTTCGAAGGTCGCTCATCAATCTATACAAGGAGATTGTTGCTGATAAGCACGGCAATTAGTGGAAGCTTAATATTTCGATGGAGTCGATTAATTGATTTAATGGATTACATAAGTGGACAAAGAGCCTCAGTTTTTGTGATAAAAATAATATAAAACGGTATAAGTGTATCCTTGAAACCCCATTGTCGTCGAGATGTAGGAAGTTGGTCAAATCGAAATTATATAAAAGCCATAAATGTTATCTGCGTAATCATGATTCATGTATAAAGTCCTTGATCCGGTAAAAAGTGTTATTATGTACGGAATAGATAACTGCAAAAACTGGTATAACTGGACAGTATTGTTCATAAGTGGTTAGAAGAAGAAAAAGAGGTGATACAATTTGAAACCTTCACAATGACCGACATGTAAATGTTAATCGCATTTTTGGTCCATAGTTCAAGGTATCGACTGGTTTTTGGACAACAACTGTACCGTCATATCAGGCTACATTTCTAAAGGGTTACATCACTTTAGCCGAAAAAACTGTTGTAATTTTATCAGCCGTCTTAGCTGTCAACTAAGCGAGACACTTGAAAGCAAAAGTTTTTTCGCAGTACAACCATATGACACAAACTATACTTAGACCGTATTCTCTACGTAGCTTCTGCGAATATCAGTTAAGTATGACAATAGGTCGTTAGTTTCTCAATTCTGCTCAAATCTCAGGTAATCAGATTTTTTAGCGTTTTTATTATTTTGGCCTCAAAAACTGATCTGAGGATTTTATACAAATTTTCAGGTATCGCTTTAGTGTCACTAATTTCCAGAAGATTGATTTTCAGTCATGTATTATAATTTTTTTGGAAAATGTCGGCATTATCACAGGAGCAATGTGGCCGATTTAATAACTTAATATACTAAGTGACATATAAATCCGAACAGCCAGTTTAAATGGTTTTATTTTAATAAAAGTTGGTGAATGTATTTACCTTACTGTAAATAACAAGTGAAAACAACATTCCGGTTTTTATACTGCTTTTTTTAATTCACTAACGCTCTAAAAATGAATATTTCAGCCGCAGTAAAGAATCAACGTTGGCGGATTTTGGTTCTTGACATCCTTTACGATCGGTTACGATGCCTAGAGTACGGAGACCTATACGATTTCGTCAACTTAGTGAGTTTGATAGGGGCCTTATAGTGGGACTTCGGGAAGCTGGACTGTCTTTTCGGGCAATTGCAGTTAGAGTGCAAAGAAGTGTAGACACTGTGGTTAGGTGTTGTCAGGCATGGCTTCGAGAAGGCCGTACGCAAAGAGCAAGGGGCACTGGACGCCGCCGTAGAACAACAGACCGTGAAGATCGCCGCCTAAGATTATTGACCTTAAGGGACCGTTTCTCCACTACCATGTCCATTGCAAATGAATGGTTTGCAGAACACAGAAGACCTATTGGCATGCGAAGTGTTTACTGACGAATGAGAAGTTTTGGCTTGTTTTCATATCGGCCACACTGGGTCCTCCCTTTAACTCGAGAACACCGACGTAATCGCCTTGAGTGGTGCAGACAACGGTCACTCTGGGATCAGGAATGGAACAGTATTGTCTTTAGTGACGAGTCACGATTTTGTTTAGGCAAGCACGATGGTCGTGCCAGGGTTAGAAAGCGACGTGGTAAAAGGAGGAATCCACAGTTTTTTGTTGAAAGACATGTTCATCACACTGTTGGAGTTATGGTTTGGGGTGCTATAGCTTATGGTTTCAGGCCACCTTTAATCTTCATCAGAGGTAACATGAACGCGCAGCGTTATATCCACGAAGTTCTAGAACCCCATCTTTTACCCTATCTTGACACCCTGGCAGATCCAACTTTCCAACAAGATAATGCCCGACCACATGTTGCAAGAGTCACAATAGACTTCTTTCAACATAATGATGTCACATTGTTACCATGGCCACCAAGATCTCCCGACTTATCCCCAATTGAGCACGTGTGGGATATGATGGGTAGGAGATTGCTCAATTTGCAGTTGGTGGTTGTCTGGAATGAGATATCACACGAGAACATTGACCACCTGATCAGATGCATGCCTAGGCGCGTTGGAGAATGCGTAGCACATCAGGGTGCATCCACACATTATTAAAGGTCAAAGGGCTTTAAAGCAGTGCAATCATTTTGAAATGTTTATCATTTACTTATTATGCTTCATTAGGTACTTATACAAAATTTTATTAAAATAAAACCATTTAAACTGGGTGTTCGGATTTATATGTCACTTAGTATAACTTGCCTACACATGTAAAAATTTCAGGCATTTTCATAAATAGAAACCAAATGCTCTAAAGTATTTTTCACTGCTTGCTCCCAATATATTTTTTTTTTGTGTTTGGTTAGCAATGAATAATTAAATAACAAATGAAGAAGCCTACGACAGGCACTAATAAATGATTATTGCAGTTTCAGATATCTACGTACAAGTCTATTTTCTATTTCTTGATGAAGACATAGGAAGAGTTCACACGTCTCATATCCTCAGGCCAATTCTAGCATTTGAAATGGATCGGCGAGAAGCTGTTTTGATTTTGAGTTTAATATGACCACACCTAACATAATTGCTCAATTTGCTGTTGCTGAATCATCGTAGATTCATGATTTATGATGGAATAATAACATATAATCAAAGCTTATATGCACACGTATGGATACATTTCGTACAGAAACCGTTTTGGTATAGTGTGTTGAAAAAATTGAGATGTTCGGAACCCGGTTATTTTTTTATCTGCTGCTACTATAAATGCTAGCTTCCGTACCCATTTATATAAATATTCTGATTCGATTTTTCTTTCATAATCCTATTCAAAAAAGGCCCCTTTAAAAAAAACTGCATGTTGCCAGGACCAAAGCCTCAAAAACTTTATAAACAAGTTGTTTAAACAAATTCCAAAAGCCATTTTCTTCGCTCCGCTCAAAGTACGTTTAGGTTTTTTTTGGAACATTCTCAACAAAAAAAAGGTGCTCAGGAGATCATCTTCAAAGTTGATATTTTTCGAGATATAAGGTACACCGGGGCAAGTGTGACCCAAAATTTCAATAGTTCAACTTTTTCGCGTTGTATTTCCTATTTTTAATTACGATATTCACTGAAATTTTGAGAGTATAGTCTTAAGTATATGTAGAAACGAAATCTACAAACACAAAACAAAATCAGTATAGATTTTTTTCTAGAAATTATTTTTTTCATGTTAGAATAATGGTTTACACTTCCCCAGCAAATTGGGGCAAGTGTAAACACGCTGTCTGAATTACTACAAAAGTGTTGAGACTTGATTGGGGCTAGTGTAAATAAAAGAAGAGACTAAATATAATCAGATTTTTTTACTAGGAAAAATCACTTAGGATATATTTTGCTCAAATGTGATGTTGAAATGGAAGTGTCCTCTTCTGTGAATATCTGGGGCAGGCAAACAGTGTTGTATTTCATCTCTTCTTATAACTGAGACATCTGGAGTATCTGGCCAATGAAATTGTGATGAAGATCCCGAGCGTCTTGCAAATTTTGCTTCTAAACATGGCTCTACTTCTATTACTTGCCCTACATAAAATTTGAATGATTTTTTAGTAGCAAATTTTACTAGAATCCAGTCCCCTATTTTCAGTTCTTGAGGATCTTTCTCCAGGTATTTCACGAATTCTTCTTCTTCACGCAAATCATTTACTTCATCGTCTAAGTCAAAATTATCATCTGAAGTATTGACTTCCATTTCTTCAAAACTATCTTCATCTGTGTCTTCTTCGTATACTTGCTTTCTTTTCAATTTTTTACCATCTTTCTTAGTTGTCGACTTCTCTGGTTTTTTAATTTTGTTTGCTTTCTCGTTCAATTTAGCAACTGCTTCCAAGGATGTAATAACTTCGGCACCTATACATACTCTCTTTCTGATCGATTTCGCTGGTTTTGGCATCTGTCTTAGCTGTTCTAAGAGAATGCTCTCAAAACTTTTTGTGTTGTTAACTGGCGGATTCTGGTGTTCTGAACTGGTCGATGGCATTTCCGGATTTATTGAATTTACTGACGATGTCTGCGGAGTTATTGGTGGTACTGTTGAAGTGGATGGCAAATTAAAACGCTCTTCTAATGTTGATCGTAAATTTGGTTGCGCTACTTGTGCTTCTTCCGGATTGTTATTTTTGCAGTTTGAATCACACCACCTTTTATATGCTTCTGGATCGTAATGTTCAACGGGAATGACCTCATTATTAAAAGGATATATCCCCCCTTTCTCAAATCCTTTGATAAGTAACGAAGGGTTTACTTGTGACCAGATTTTTGATAAAATGGTACAAAACATAGGTTTTGGTAGTTTCGTACCATAGTTTTGTCTCTGCCATTTTATGAGCTCTGCATCCCATGCCATTTTTAATGACTTAAAAACACATAAATCCATAGGTTGTAGCAGATGGCTGGAATGAGGCGGAAGTTTCACTATAATCACATCATTAGCTATTGCCTTTTCTATCAAAGAAATACTAATGTGAGACGTGTGACCATCATAAATTAATACAGTAGGTCTGTCTTGGCCAATATTTGGTAAAGAATTGTTTTCAAAATATTTTTGAAAGGTTTCCGTTTCCATCCACCCATTTTTAGTGGCTGAATAAGTCATTCCCGGGTATTCCTCAGTTGGAATCCAACTATTCCATATGTGTTCACCCTTGAACACTACGAGTGGAGGAAGTTTTTCACCTGCAGCGTTTCCCCCAAGGAGAACTGTTATATTATCTCGTCCTGGACCACTTGTTGTCCTATGGGCTGCTCTACCCTTCTCTCCAACAACTTTTATCCGGGATGGATCCAGGCAGAAACCAGTTTCATCAATATTATAAATTTGCGATGCTGGGATATTTTCAATATGCTGTTTGAGGATATTGAAGTAATCATACATAACAAATGGATCCATAGACCTCTTTCGAGCCACTTCCACAGATTGCGGTTTTTTCTGGCTTAAATGAAATGCTTTCGTGAATCTGACGAAATAATCATTGCCAGGAACTCCATTCTTGAAAGGGGTTACTATATTATTTTCTTTCACATACCGCCCAATTAGTTGAAGAACTTCTCTCTTTGATAGTCCCATACCCCATTTTTCGAGTCTTTTAATACTGTTGGAAAATTTTTGTTCTACATCATAAGGCAGAGCTGGTGCCCTACCCCCCGTATTACTTTTTATACCCCGTTTACCCTTTACATGAGTGAATAAAGTAGCTTTGGGTATTTTGTACAATAATGCAGCTCTATATAATGTTAGAGTACCTCGTTGCACAGCTTGTACTGCCTCTTTCAAATCGTTTTTGCTATAGGCTGGAGGAGCTTTGTTACGTATGTAATTCCGGACCATGTTCTGAAAACAACGGGAAAGTGTAAACGTAATAGAATTATTGGGGCAAGTGTAACCTACCATATTTCATACTTGCCCCAAGGGAGTTTTTTTGGGGCAAGTGTAAACCACAACATTTAAAAAAAAATTCTTTAAAATTCAGAAAAGATAAGTTTATTTACTAATAGATAATACCTTTAATGGAGTGCTTACCAGAAATTACGATGAAAAGTCGTCAAAGTTTTAATACAAAGAGATTCTTATAAGAGACTACAGAACTGTGTCGTCAACTGTAAATGCAAACACACTAAGTAACGAAATGTAATGAAGCGTTCGTTTTGCTAGCGCGCAAGACATGTATTGCGATGCTTAGCCGGTATCATAATAAACCTACTTGGCCATAGATGGCGCCATTATGATAGAATTTAAGACCACAAATTGGCATAGGTTACACTTGCCCCGTATTTACACTTACCCCGGTGTACCTTAAGTGAAATATGTCATTTTCGATCTGGAAAACCGATATGAAAAAAATGAAAATTGTGATGTTCCCATTATAGTATAATACTAATATATTCTTCAAAAATTCATTAAAAAAATCCCGAAGCATTTCATAACCATTTGTTATTATAAACCTTTGTTATTGAATTCTTAATCAAGCGCGCGCTTAGTGTATGCTTTGCGTGAATGCAATACAGATGTAACAAGTCAGCCTCGGCTGAAAACCATTACTCGATTAACAATTGAAAAACAAATATTTACAATAACAATACGACCTGAAATCTTCAGTAATTTCCTTTATGGATGCTTGAAAAATATTTTGGAGCATTGGCAACAATAAAGTTTTTTTTTAATGTTAAAATCAGTTTTATCGGAGCAAAAAAGACAGTCTTTGGAATTTGATAAGTTATTGGTTAAATTTTGCTAACGTAAACTTGGTCCTGGTAACACACAGATTAGTTGAAATTGGACCGTTTAGAATAATATTATGAATATGTCTGACTCAGAATATCTTTAACATCTGATGCGAATATATTGCTCGTACTATATGGAAACAATGCTGCCTCATTTCCAGCATATATTTATTGACGTGTTCTACTGAAGCTAGCTAACCTAATAAGAAGTCCCCTTTGAAAAGGTTATCTTATCATGGGCACTGTAGCTACGTTCCCATGTGTAGTTGGCAACAGCGCTATCTATGAGACAACAACCTTTTCAAAGTACTATTGCGGAGAGGAAACGGATATATGTGACAGATTCTCATGGATTACGCTGCGGTGTTTCAGTTCGTCTCGAATAGGTTTTAGAGATAGTATTCAGTTGGTTATCTTCAGATAGAATACGTCAACCAACGCTTGAACATGGCATAAGGATGATGAAACTGGGAGTATCCATCAGCAGCTTAGAGGGTATAGATCAACAGGCGCGACGGATCAGTGAAACAACCATATGCAGTTGCAGCATGATTCTCCATACCAGAGGCGAATCATTAAAAATCCATTTTTCAAAACGTCTCTCGAAAATCAATATTCCCACTTTTCACCAGGCTATTTGCGCCTACCGTCAAAAGTGACGAGAGCGTAAAAAATAATGCGGCCTTTAAAGGTCAGGCAGATCATTCTAACAAGGCATAATTCGGTAATTGACTAGCTCCGTACACCTACCCGAAACAGGCTCTGCATGAATGAAGTATGGTAATCACTGATTATATTTAAATTCATTGTGGCTCATGTTTGAATTTACGGCGAAATAATGACCCATGATTTACATGAATAACTTCCAAACAAAATGAGTCTTGTTTTTGATGCTAATTACGGAGTACGAGTATTAGTGTACACAGGGTTGCAGAATAAATGTCGTCTTCCTCATGTGGAAATGTGATTGAGCAGAGAGTTGTTTTTCTAGCAGTTCCTAACGGATCTCATGGTGGACTAGATAATACAGCTAGTTTTGAATCGTTGTACTTAACTTTTATTATTTACCTGTTATTGCATGTCAAACTATTGTGGCATTTTGAGTTGCAGAGAACGTTATTTTTCTTGCAAAGGCATCGATTTGACGTACACTTCTTGGTGCAACTACGCTTAAAGAAACCTTGGCCGGTTCCAGCTGAATATTTGATTCCTGCGGTTCTCAAAGTTCAATGTTTTGTTCACTTCTTCTTCCACTAAAAACTTTTGTGCGCAGATATCAAATTCATTTTTGAGCTCATCAACGGTGAGATAATACTTTGTGTTATTTGTATTTTCTTCATTTCGTGCGGTAAGTTTCTTTACAGCTCCGATTTCCACCACATCCAATCTTTTCAGTCTTCTTTGTTGCAAGGGTGATTTCTTTTCCGTTTTTTCAGCCTCTTCCACTTGTTGCATAAATGCCAAATACTTTTCCTTTGTCAAAATATCAAATTGAGTTGATTTTTCATCCTCAGATCTTAAAAACTCTTCGAAGAATCTCTGCCTCCACTCCTTTTGATCTACGTGTCCTCTCGATGGAGCCTCATTGATGCTAACGAGATACAGAAATACACTCCGAACTTCAGATAAATATTAACACAAAAGGTTTCAAAATGACTAGATTATGAATAACACCCACAATACGCCTTTTAACGAGTTCAGACTACTTAAATCTCGGTCCGAAACAGTTTAGACTAGGACAAATCAGTTTTTCCTAATCATAATTAATTTATTTCAGGAAAAACTAGTTCATCCTATCGCTCTTAAGAAAAACTGATTTGGCCTAGGAAAAACTAGTTGATCCTAAAATCGGATTTGTCCGGTAACATCTGTATCAAAAACAGACATATATGTTAAGAAAAAATAAATAAATGCACTGCATTAACACTAAGCAGGAAGACCGCATCTATATTTTTGCTCCAGAACTCGAGGAAACCCAAGCGCTGAAATTTTAAAGGCAAAGGTCCTCGAGATTTTCAATAGACTACTTTGTCACTTGAGTGCTTTGAAAGATCATTGAGGAAGTAGCTCAATAATAAGTGCCACTATGAAATTGGACACTTGGACACTTTTTTGCAATACGTTTTATGAATGCTTGTATTTCATCTATTTTGAATCAAACTGAGTACGATGAATTTTGGGACCCCCTTGACACAGGCATTGAGAATTCAAAAGATGGTAGTAATTAGGAAACTGTAGGAAAATATAGCAATACACCAACATACTTTGAAGTTGAGTCATTAATTTTCAGATAATGATTGTAGAAGGAAGATAAAAAAAAGTGTGTAAAAATAAAAAAAAAGTAAAAAAAAAAATTTACCTTGTTTTATAAAGTATCCTCCCGACAAGTATTTCAGTGCGGACCTGTATTTGATCGTGCGGTCTTGGAGCACCGGCATGCCCTCCCCTGTGAGGTCTTAAGTCACCTGATTCACGAGTCCTTTGTAGTACATTAACAAAGGCACGAGGGGTTGGTTGCACTCGATTGGGAAACCGATCCGCATAAATCCGTGATGTCGCGGCAGCATTTTGTAAAGACTACTCAAACTTCTAAAGGGCTGTAACTTTGTTACTCTAATTTTACCACAAAAATGTTAAAGGAAAAAACATTTCTTTTGATCAGATCTACTCACTGTTAAAATAAATGACTCAACTTCGATTACTGATGAATGTCTGAGAAGCAGTTCAATCCGAAACAGTTTTCTAATCATTCGAGCGGAAGCAAAACAAGTATATCCTCAATAAGATACGGCAATAAAGTGACTATTACCAAAATCGACCACTGTGAAAAAATATTTTATCATAATACTAACAATTCTTTTTTTTTTTTACAGGTACGGAAAACGATGGTCTCCTGTAAAATTAAGGTAATATATACGTACATATCTGATTAATGTAATTTTTTAATTTTTTGAAGACTGTTACCATAGTGCATTTTTTCACTGTATTTTGGAGTTTGAGAGAATCTTGGGGGTAGTCTACAACAGTGCAGTGCTTGAAAGTCAGAATATTCTCAGTTAATGAATAATGATACGTAAGCAGGTGCTACTGAAAAATAAACGGCCTTAACAATATTGTCATTCTTCCCTTTCATTAGAATCACTTGCCTTTCAGAAGACATATGTGTACATGTTAGTCTTTATTTATGTTGCTAGACTAATATTGCAATACACAGTGTATCGATTGGTGGTATGAAAAAACCGATTGAGATGTTTATTTCCGATTAGATGCGGTGATATTAGAAAGCTTTAGATTAATTCTGCATGTATTTCATGCTATATGGCACAATATATCAGAAACTATGGAGAAAATCTTCTCATCGTTGTGGGAGAAGTTATTGGGTGCTACTTATATACAGGGTGATCTTATTTCTATTTACAGATGCAAGCTCATAAGAGAGCCTGCTTTTGCAGATCGCAGTGAAACTACAGAATTAAGTTCATAAATCGACCTTTCTCAGACTTTGTCTTACCATCTTGAAAATTTTCTTGTCAATGTATGAGCAATAATCTGTGGCATGACGCTGTCATATTCATCCTTGTTACTGCCAGTGTGACAGCTTGTTTGTCATAGGCGTGAGATTTGAGTTTACCTTTATTGATCTTGATATAAAACATATCAGTGCGTGAACATATGATTACGGTCGAGGATTCTGTATGAAATTTTCAGAAAGTGACTGAAACCAACAACGGTCTTCTATCAGTCAACACACGTATGTGCAAGACCAAGAAGAAGCTCAATTAAGGATCGGCTTGCACAGTATCTGTCAACCCAGCTTCAATCTTTTCAAATGTCCTAAAGTATTTCCTGTAATTTCTGATGGATAATGGAACTACTCAATAGGCTTTTTCCAGAAGATAAATATTGTACAGAGATCAAAATGGATGCATCCTTTGAATTTTTTAAGGAGCCTCGCATCCCTACGACCCCCTAAGTACGCCACTGTCAATTCGCATTCCTGCGCGGGAAATGCTGACGGGGAACACGCCCAAGCAAGACGTCTAGTCTGATTTTAATATTATTACACAAGTATAGTGATAAATAGAATACATTGCCACACGGTATCCT